TGTGTGTGTGTGTGTGTGTGTTCCGTGTTCAGCCAAGAGAAAGTGTCCCTTCGCTCGCTTGGGCAAAAGTCAGCAATCTTCAGTCGACGCCGCTGGCCTTGAATGAGGAGGGAGAGAGTCACATCAACAGTCTTGTTATCTAAAGGAGAGTTTTGACCGTCAGCTTTTGCCTTGAGCATCCAGCTGGTGCCAGGGGGGTCGCATGAGATGAAGATGGTAGTTTTTTTGGTTAGCGTGAACAAACTGCTTCCAGTTTTCCAGTTGGTCTAATGTCCGTCACTGGTCACCAGGTCTCTCAATTCCCATTCTTCTTCTCCAAGATCTTGTCTATATTGCTTTCAATAAACACAGTCTGAGTACTCACAGCCCTGCCCATCATCTATCATGTCGGCCAGCCTTGTGGGATTTTAAACAGCTCTAGCCGATTCTTGTACTTTGATAAGGCAGCTCCAATCAGCCAGAACTCTGTTATCATGGTTCTGAATTGGTAGATGTCTTTCAATGTCCTCCATCGAGAGTGTTGTCAGACACATGACGTAAGCAACCATCGAGTAACCGGCAGCAAACGTCTCTGCAGGACAATCAGTTTTTCAGTTTCGTTAAGGGACCAGTTGATAAAATCCATAATTCTTCTTTAGGTTTTTAGAGAACAAGTCTGGAAGACTCTCTTAGGGATGGAGAATAAGCGAGACTATGCAAAAGACATGAGAAGCCAAGCAGGAAAGATAAGGGAGAGGGAGAAGGAGAAAGTGGCTCTCCGTCAAGAGCCAAGAAAAGACTTCCACATGCCAAATGTAACGCACTTAAAATAAGTTACTTGATTAAAAAATATTTACACATAATTAAAATGTTTTCATTTTTCATTGTTTTTAATTGCATAAAGCCTACTTTCAGTTTCATAATTATGTCCAACATGTTGCTCAGTTTTTGAGAAACTGATGCTATTTACTGACTCTTTGTTTGAGGTTTTCATGCATGGATTATAAAACTGTCCTGAACCTTTCTCTCAAAACACTTGAGTTCTTCTGCTTAAATAGTCCACTTAACCAAACAATTTCTCCTCTGGACTATTCCATTCAGTAGGTAGGTAAGATGAACATGATTATATTCAAACCTCTACTACTCCTCTTTTCTGGCAACATGAAGTCTGTGGTGTAATCAATACATATTACAACACTAAATCTATTTCTTTATAAACCCTCTAAAATCAACTTTATTAAATTATAAGAGTTCTTCCCCTTCTGCACTTGGTCTCTTCCTGTGACCCCAGATGAACCCAGAAGGTATAAAGGAAGTAAAACTGCATTTCCTCCTTTTGTTTCTGGAA